TCAATGCAACATTTTCTTTACAAACGATGGTCAACTTCTGTTATTATTTGGGGTTGAATCGCTTGAATTAATAAATCAAAAATCTACGTTTTGATTGGTAACATATTTTACGGTTGAACACATGCAATTAAAAGTTGAAATAGTGGTTATAAAAGGTTTTGAAAAACATATGGTTTACAACAATCGTTTATCCACTAATTTTAATTAACATAACCATGATTTTCTTACCAAATCTTACCATAACTACTATAGTTTTATTTTCATCGCTTCGTTTGAATGTATTCATCAAATCATATTCAATATTGTATTTGTTTTCACTGAACCGGACGCCAATTAGTTAGTCAAGATGAAAGCTAGTTGTGTCTATTGGTCAAAATGTGGCGGACCCAGTGGGTCACTTGACCTGGGGAAACTCTATAAGTAAAATTTAATACATACAAACCAATGAAGATTCGTTGGCACAAATGGTAAGTTGCAAGGTGGTGGCACACCTTGACCCGGGTTCGAAACTCCTCTTCTACATATGCTGGTATAATTTTTTATTTTAAGCTATTATTGACCTAGGTAAAAAACAATTCTAGGTCCGCCACTGGGTCAAATCTTACATTTGTGTTATACAGACTTCCAATATGTATTAGTTAAACAATATTATCCTTAGCTTAGAAAATACGTAAATTATTAAAATTGTATGCGACACAATCATACACAGGTATTGATCTGACTTGAGTTCCGGTTCTACCTTAACCGCGAGACATTGCATTGTAAATTACGTAACCACAATTTTCTGCATATTTTAATTTCTTCAAAACACAAAGATTTTGTTTAAAAAATTAGTGGAGCTTAAGCCACGCGCATTGGAAGAGAGTGATAACACGCGCGATACTAATTGGATGGTGAGGGAACTCCTTTCACCTGATTCCACTTTAGGCTTTGTCTTTTGTAAGCGCAATCTGGTTTTGTCTTCAGGGATACTTACTGCAACGGCTGCGTTTTGGTGAAGGACTGAGGGAGATGAAGCCTTGTTCTGCGTTAGAGGCTTCACTTTACCAATCTGGTTTTGTCTTCAGGGATACTTACACTGCAACGGCAGCGTTTTGGTGAAGAACTGAGGGAGATGAAGCCTTGTTCTGGGTTAGAGGCTTCACTTTACGACCCTTCTAACGAGTCGATAGAGGGTTAGAGCCTTGTTCAGTACAATCACGCCTTGTTCGTTCTCTATTTCTCGATTCTATTTCTCGATTGTTCTGGGTTAGAGCCTTCCTGTTCTCTATTTCTCGAGGTCGATTTCTATAATGTCTTTCAAATGGAAAGAAGGTGACTTTGTTATGGTGAAAAGGGGTGACTTTTTTGGTTCTCCTGCAACAGTCTGGGAAAACTGTAGCCAATCCAGTTCTGAAGATGAAGATGGTGAGACTGTTGATGTTGAAGTGCGCATGCTTGAAACAGGACAAAGGTAAAAGATAATCTTTGCTTATTACTGGAATGCTAATGTCTGGAACTTTGCTTATCTTTGCTTATCTCTGGAATGCTTATCTCTGGAATGCTAATCTCTGGAATGCTTAAGTTTGCTTATCTCTGGAATGCTTATCTTTGCTTATCTCTGGAATGCTAATCTCTGGAATGCTTAAGTTTGCTTATCTCTGGAACTTTGCTTATCTCTGGAACTTTGCTTTATCTTTGCTTATCTCTGGAATGCTTGTCTCTGGAATGCTTATCTCTGGAACTTTGCTTATCTTTGCTTATCTCTGGAATGCTTATCTCTGGAACTTTGCTTATCTTTGCTTATCTCTGGAACTTTGCTTATAATTTTGCTGTAGAGTCTTCTTCCCAAATTCTTCTCTGCAAGAATTTACCGAAGATTTGAAGCAGCAGATGGTTATCAAAACTGCAGAATTCACAAAAGGATTAAGACAATTCTCCAGGCACTTTTCTGATGCAAAAGAACCCAAAGCAGATTGTGGTCACTTGAAAGCGGGAGACTTTGTGTTTCTGAAAAGGAACAACTTTCCAGATTGGCCGGCAACTGTAATTGATGGAGCTGTGGCAGAAGGAGAAGTACGTGTGTCATTCTACCCAGAGAGAGACACCGGTATTGTATCACGTAAATCTCTTGTGCCATCTTCGTCTTCGAAGATAGAGTTGCTTTGGAAGCGGTTGACTTCTTTTGAAAAAGTCCTCAAGACTTTGGTTGCGAAGTATTCTGAGAGAGAGATAGAGAAAACAAGAGATGAAGCTACCAAGGTTGTAGTAGATTATGAAAATACGGGTCTCCCTAAAGTCTTGGAAGCTAAAGGCTTCTACCAGAACATTGAAGACGGTTTGAATAGGAATGGATTTTCTGGAAAGGTTGATGTGACCGTGGTGGTTGGTTACGTAGACCATATACCTGACGAGAGGGAAGCTATTTTGGAGCAGAATAACGTCACTGTCCTCCACGCTAAAAAGATACCCAGTAAGTTCATCTCAACATTAACATCAAACTTTTTGTATTTGACTTTTATCTCAATGTGATATTTTTTTATACCTGACTTTATCTCAATATGATATTTTTTTATACCTGACTTTATCTCAATCTCATATTTTTTTATATCTGACTTTTATCTCAATCTGATATTTTTTTATATGGTGTTTCAGGACCAGCTGTAGTAGAAATACTAAAAGAATGGCTAGAGGAGGGATTGCCCCCTCAGAACGTACTTGTTGCCACCGGRGATAACGGGTTTGCCGYTGTTTTCAAGTRACTGCGAGCRGCAGGGCACACGGTTYTATTTGCGASTCTCCAAGATCCAGCAAAGACGAAAGTCTCCTCGGTGGCATTAGAAGCCACATCACTGTTGAGGTTGGTTTGGAATGACCTTTTGGTAGCACCTAGTCAGAAGAGTAAAGCTGCAAAGAGGGCTCAGGAAGGTAGTGGAATGGAGGGTAGTGGAAAACGAGGAAGAGGTCGTGGTCGTGGTCGTGGTCGTTGAGAAAGCAGCTGCTACAAGTGTGGTGAGTCGGGACGTTTTGGTGGTGCTCATTAAACTGGTCACTGGTTTGGTGGTGGAGGAATCTGAATCCATCAGATCGTTTTCTCGCCGCGTACTAGTACTATCTCTTTATTATCCTCAGCTTTTGCTTATGATGGTTTCTTAGCTTTTCGTATTCGGATCTTTTCTCTTAAAACTCTTTGATGGTAGTTTCGGATTTTAGGATTATGGTTTGGTTATTGTTTATGCTGCTACTACCACTTATGATGATGGTATGTTTAAAGCTGCTTGTCCTCGGTCTTATAGTTATGCTTATGATGATGTTTAAAGCTGCTTGTCCTCGGTCTTATAGTTATGCTTATAGGTGGCACTACAATGGCAATGCTACTCGCCGCATTTACCTTTCTGTTTAGTTTCTTGTAGTATCATGCTTGATTTTAGTAGTTGTTTTGTTAGTATTTGCCTTGTTTCATTTTAGCTTCTGTCTTGTTGATACTCTATGTTTGGCGTAGGACTACAGGTGTTTCGGGTTTTGCATTGTAGCTTTGTGTGTGCGTGTTCTTGTTTGAAGATTGCTTTCATGTTTGAAACTGTGAGATATGTTTGGTGATTTGATGATCTTAAGTTGGATTTCAGGTTTTGCATTGTAGCTTTGTGTGTGCGTGTTCTTGTTTGAAGATTGCTTTCATGTTTGAAACTGTGAGATATGTTTGGTGATTTGATGATCTTAAGTTGGTTTAGTCAAAAAGTTCCAAAGTTATGAACTCTAATCTGCTAATTAAAATATGTATTTATTATGTATGAGGTATTGGTTGGTCTGTTTCTTAAATCTTAGAGAAAAGATGACCATTTAAGACTATGATAATAATGTTGCCAGAGCCAAAGCTGGGGCCTCACAGTTAATGGCTTGTGTGATGTGAATGATGCCACTTATTTTCTTTATGTTACTTTTCAGGGATTCACATTGATTTTATGTCTCAAAAATGTTTATAAAATTTCTGAAAAAAGTTTCCCCACGCCACAAAGTCATGTCCCATTTCACC